CCAAGGTCATCAGGAACATCCTTCCTGCAAAATCAAATGGGAACTTTCTGTTTTGTTTCTATCTTATATGACCTCTTTGTAGCATTTGACACCATGACCACTGCATCCTTTTTAAAATACTTTATTTCCTTGAATTTTAAAAAGCCTCTGGCAGATCCTTCTAAGCCTTTTTTGGAAGGATCCTCTACAAATCCATTGCATGTTGATATGAAATTAGTATCTATATATTGATGTCTCCTCCGTGGCTCCCTACTGGATACCGCCCAAACCTGCTTCTTCCCCTATATTCTCTTTTTCTGTGGTGGAACCATCATCCACCCAGTGGTCCCAGCCAGATCCCAGAATGATCCTTGACGCCCCTCCCTTATTTCTCAAATCCAGGTCAGCCCTGTAAATTCAGCCTCCTAAACATCTGTAGTCTGCCCTACAATGAAAAAAAGGGGCATAAATAGTCATAAAATAACTGTGATAGTCATTAAAACTGTTACATTGCACTTATTGGAATTGCTGTCCTTTGCACCTAGTTCATTCATGCCTTCATTGAACATAAATGTATATCCTATTTTAGAAAGCAAGGAGTGATCAGTGATGTGTAATGTCTAATGACTATGTTGTAAACCTGAAATTAATATAATATTGTATGTCAACTGTAAGTCAAATCTTTTTAAAGTAGGTCCTATAGTGGTAAGCACTCTCAAGACAAATAAATCAGGGACGGGGGACAGGATATGGTTAGGAGGCGATCTTAAATAGGGTGGACAGGTTGTCCTTCTGGGCCTCCAAAACCGAGTCTGGGAATGAGCGGCTCTTTTCCTCTCTGATCTCAGAGTAGTTTGGATGTGAGCCTTGGAGCTGTCAGAGGCTGTTGCTCCGGCTTCGTGGAGAAGCTGGTCTTTATAGCCAAGAAAGCAACGAGTATAAAGTGCTCATTGTCTATGGCAATAGAAATTTGAAGAAAGAAAAAGTTCATCAGAGTATGTACAAACCCCTAACTACATTTATATGGATTGCCCACCAGAAAAAAGGCACAAAATACACTCAAGAGCTTTGACATGACATCTAAGTATAAAATCTAATTAAACAAAATCTGATTCAATCACTCTAAATTAATAATCAGAGAGAGAGAGGCCGACAAGCCTAAAACAATTTAAAAATAAGACCCTTATGTAACAGTGTTACAAATAAATTCAGAAATAACAATGAGACATTATTGAAATATCCAGATTACTGCCAGGATTTACTGCAATTAGTTTTCTCTACTTAATATGCACATGCTTCAGATTATAAAACGAGGAAGTTCATTTGTACGATGAACCAAAGACCATCACATTGATCGGCTGGAACTTTTCACCCATTTTCCACAATTTAATTGCCAACACAATAGAACTTAATATTCAAAATGTTATCTGCATTCCACATAAGTTTTAAGATGAGCCACCTATTTTTTGATTCAAGGAGAAAATGGTAGATTTTCTCCCTGTTATACAAGCTATGTTCATAAAGTGTAAAGTCAAAGTACAAAATCATATTGATTGCTAAAGACAAAATATATTTCAGTATAATAATGTACTTTCCACAGTACATTATATACCAACACAGTCAACACCTGTGAAAAAAGGGGAAGGCCAAAAGTTCAAGAAAAAATATTAATGTTATTATTTTACCAATGATCTTTTAACCCAGTGGTTCTCAACCTTCTGGCCCTTTAAATACAGTTCCTTATGTTGTGACCCAACCATAAAATTATTTTCGTTGCTACTTCATGACCGTAATGTTGCTACTGTTATGAATCGTAATGTAAATATCTGATATGCAGGATGGTCTTAGGTGACCCTGTGAAAGGGTCGTTCGACCGCCAAAGGGGTTGCGACTCACAGGTTGAGAACCGCTATCTAAGCCAAACATGATTTGGTTTGGGAATATAATTTGGGGGAAAATGTCTGGCAAAACTGTTAAACAAATGCATCCCTTCAAGTTCCAATTCAATTGCTTTTAGATTTCAAATCTTTCCCTGAAAGGATTATGTTGTTTGTTTGTGGTTAAATCTTCATATGCCTCTATTTGCTTTATCTCTATAACAAAATTTTAAACTTCCTGATTGCAGGTGCTCAATCTATACGGTGTTTGTGTCACCTACTAAATCCTTCAAACATTGAGATTCAGAAAATGAAAGCCTGAAAACAAATGAACAAACCCCACATCTTAGAATCTGCACTGGTCATAGATTGGAGGTGGCTGACTGCTCAAAACAATTCTCTTGTGGCCACACCTATGGGACCCCTTCTCTGGTTAAAGACTCTACTGCAAGCATGTCACACTCGCCGGCCAAGAGTTTGACATGCTTGCTCCACGCCTCTGCCCATAAGAGCAGGCACACAAGCCAAGCTTGCCTGAAAGAGTCCTTGGGACCTTTAAAACTGAGTCTGGAAAAGAACTCTTTTCCTCTATGATCTCAGATGTGAGCTTTGGAGGGGTCAGGGGCTGCTGCTCTAGCTTCATGGAGGAGCTAGTCGTTACACAAAGCAGAGAGGAGAGACCGTGAGAGGCCAGCTGAGACAGACAGACACCGCTAATGCCAGCTTCAGCCTTGCTCTTCCCACAATTAAGTTCTGAGTCAATAAGTCCCATTGACTTACTTTCACTAGTTACTGTAAGGATTCCCTCACTGGAAGCCAGAACTGTAACTAGTACAGATGCAGATTTGCATTACTGTAAAAACTCTTGGAATCCATGAGGTCCAAAATCCTCATGTTAGGTATTAGGAAAATGGATTTGTTATAGAGGGATAAGCACCTTGCCTAAAGTCTCACAATGAAATTGTAAGGAAGCAGGGAACTGCGGCCAATCCTGCAGGTTGGCTCACCCTCACCCATTCTAACTCCAACATTTCCCAGTCTTCTTGTAGCTGGAGTGCTGGCATGTGGCCTAAGTTCCCAGGAAGCAAAGGCATCTAACCAGGACTTGGATGACAAATGACCCATGAGAGGTGGGCACTGCATGCAGGGAGTTGGTATCTGCTGGGGAGCAGGGTGGCGGAGCCCTGTGTTCTTCTGAGACAACTAAGGTGGACTCTGACATACATTTTCCTACCTGCCTGATGCAGCAGAATCAATGTATGTGTGTGTGTGTGTGTGTGTGTGTGTGTGTGTGTGTGTGTGCTGACTGAGTAGTATCCAAATTGGTTCTATGGTTCTCCTAAGATTCTGGGAGACACCTAATAACTTTCAATAAATCTCTCTTTCTATTTAAACTCGCTTGAGTTCTGTTTGAGATCAAGAACCTTGACCTATATAGAATCTGACACCTGGAAATGGGGTGCTGCAATCTGCAATGTGGGATTGGATTACTGGGGAGCAGCAAAGGCACAGATATGTCAGAAATGGGACCTTTCTGAACGCAGAAAGCTGGCAACTCGTTATGCAGGATGTAAAATTGTGTCAGGCTGTTCCACCCTGTGCCTGTGTGCTGTGCTTGTCCCATTAGAAGAAACCGTACCAAAAAATTAGTCCTAGAATGAGGATATTTAATAGTACCCAGAACCCCTAAACTCCTTCCCAAATTCAATATCACTTAGAAACTGTTTTTTAGTGGCATCACAAACTAAAAAAATAGTGAAACTCATTATGGATTTTATTTCTCTCAAACCTGAAGATTAATGGAAACTATAGAGGGAATATCAGTCTATACAGTTCGTATGTTCAAAATGGCAATTCCAAATCATCAATAAAAACGTGATGCGCAATATGCAGTCTGAGAAGAGACGGGGCTAGATTATATAGATACTGTACAAATATTTCATTGAGATCACTTTGCATTTTGCTCATGTGTATTACTTTGCAGCTTAAAAATATGTTCACATTTTTGTCCCAATCCTTATTCTTTCCCTTCCCCCTTCCTTTTCTTCCTTTCTGCCTGTCTCTGTCTCTCTCCCTCTCCCAATCCCCTTTCTTGAGGAGCATTTGTTATCTTACTCTCTCTTTTTTAAATAATTCTAACAAGTGTAAGGTGACAACTTACTGTGGTTTGATTTGCATTTTCCTCATGATGAGTGATATTCAACAATTTTTTCATGTACTTGTTGGCCATTTGTATGTCTTCTTTGGAAAAATGTCTATTCCTCAGCCCTTTTTAAAATTGGATTGTTTGGGTTTTTTGCTGTTCACTGTATAAGCTCCTTAACCCTTTATCAGATATATGGTTTGCAAATACTTCTCATTTCATAGGTTGCCTTATTTTATTGGTGGCTGTTGTTGGTTTTTTTTTCTGTGCAGAAGTATTTTTGTTTAAGGTAGTCCCACTTGTTCACTTTTGCTTTGTATTAATTTTAAAATGTAAGTCTTGCATCGCCAATATTCAATTCCCCCCTTCATTTCTCATCGTAGGTAGAGGAAAAGGAACGTAGTGGAAAAGGAACAGAACTCTTCCCCGTGACACTAATATTACTAGAAAATTTTACTTCTCTTCTTAGGAGCCAAAGGAGGGCATCTGCCTTCTCTCATTTTGCTCACCTCCCTCCCTAAGCTACATTTCTCCATATGTGCAATGTGGGAATTCATGGCCTTTCAAAAGTTATAACCCATGATAGGATAAGTTCATTGGATTAGCAAAACTGAAGCCTTGAGAGGCCCAGTCCAGTGAGGGTAGCAGGTCAATTTCAGCTGTGAGGGGAAAGCAAGGGCACCGAAGGAAGGGCCCTGTGTGTCGGGGCCGGGGGTGGAGTGGCACAGGGCAGCACGGGACCTGTTCAGAGGGCACTAGAGGAGTCCATTCTGGGGAAAAAGGACCCCAATGTAGGGAAACTGGAACCCAGGATGAGGTGGGTGGTGACATGGGCACAACAAACCTATAATAAACTTTACCAGGTTGCTCTGTCTGGGATTATCACCTAAATCCACTATTACGCATATTCAGAGGTCTAATTAATGAATATTGCAACTGACGATGGTGATTAGAAAGTAAGGGATTCTCAGAACTGCAACTATAAATACATATATGCTTACCCATTCCAGTCCCTGCTGGTGCAATTTCTCTTGAAAAAATTTCCAGTGCCTTCTTCTCTTTGTGATGTACCGAAAACCAAAGAACTACTTCTCGCGGACCCTGTTGACAAAGAGTAGAAATGAACAAATGCGGAGGTCAAAATAGGGCACAAGCTGTATTTGTGCAACATAAGAGATTTTTTTTCTGGGTTATATAAATATTTCTGGTATGCATGTTTACTATAAGAAGTTTATTATAAGTTTTCCTGATTATGTCACACATGTTCACGAAATAAACATCTTATTAAAAATAGATGATAAAACTCTTAGTCCCCTATATATTAATAATAATTATTTTATCTTAGGAATTTAACTTGACACATGGTAAAGATAGGTCGGAAAATTGCTAAAATTGTATTTGCAAAATGCCTTTGTTGTTTTTTCCATTTGTCCTTTCTTTTATTTAATTGATGCTCATTACTTTTTTTCTTAAAAGGGTGATAGTTTTTTAGTTGTTCTTTTAACCCTCACTTGAGGATATGTTTTTATTGATTTTAAAGAGAAAGAGAGAGAGAAACATTGATTCAAGAGAGAAATGTGTATCAGTTGCCTCTAATACACACCCACACCGGGGATCAAACCCACAACCTGGATATGTAGCCTGAGCAGGGATCAAACCTGTGGCCTTTCGGTGCATGGGATGATGCTCCAACCAACTGAGCCTCACCGGCCAGGGCAATGCCCATTACTTTTTCATATGACAGATGATTTTAAATTATATGTGTAAAATTGCTATAGCTCCTGAAGAATATTTGCAACAAAGATGACCTACAATCTTTGGGTAGTTCATAGCATTAATCAATTATCCTACTTGGAAACAGAATTAACTATAAAAGTATATAAATAAAAATGCCATTTAAAAATTAAAAGAATTCAGTAATCACCTTCTTTGAAATGTGTGGTCATTCTTATTCTGAAGATCTGCTTGTCCTTAATTATCAATTCATGTCTCTATAACTTTATTTTTTTATTTTGTTTAAATTAAATCTTTATTATTCAGATTATTACATTTGTTCCTTTTTTCCCCACCACAACTCCCCTCCTCCCAGTTCCCACCCCCCCCTCCGCCCTCACTCCCCACCCACTGTCCTCATCCATAGGTGCATGATTTTTGTCCAGTCTCTTCCCGAATCTCCCACACCCCTTTCCCCCCAAGAATAGTCAGTCCATTCCCTTTCTATGTCCCTGATTCTATTATGATCACCAGATTATTTATTCACTTGATTCTTAGATTCACTTGTTGATAGATGCATGTTTGTTGTTCATAATTTGTATCTTTACCTTTTTCTTCTTCTTCCTCTTCTTAAAAAATACCCTTCAGCATTTCATATAATACTGGTTTGGTGTTGATAAACTCCTTTAGCTTTTTCTTATCTGTGAAGCTCTTTATCTGACCATCAATTCTAAATTATCGCTTTTCTGGGTAGAGGAATTTTGGTTGTAACATCTTGCTATTCATCACTTTGAATATTTCTTGCCACTCCCTCTGGCCTGAAAAGTTTCTGTTGAGAAGTCAGCTGACAGTCTCATGGGAGCTCCCTTGTAGGTAACTAACTGCTTTTTTCTTGCTGCTTTTAAGATTCTCTCTTTCTCTTTAACCCTTGCCATTTTAATTATGATGTGGCTTGGTGTGGGCCTCTTTGGGTTCCTTTTGTCTGGGATTCTCTGCACTTCCTGGACTTGTAAGTCTATTTGTTTCACCAGGTAGGTGAAAAAAGTTTTCTGTCACTATTTTTTCAAATATGTTTTCAATATCTTGCTCTCTCTCTTCTTCTGGCACCCCCAAAATGTTGGTACTTTTGAAGTTGTCTCAGAGGCTCCTTACACTATCTTCATATTTTTGGATCCTTTTTTCTTTTTCTTTTTACAGTTGGGTGTTTTTTGCT